ACACACACACACACACACACACACACACACACACACACAGACCTGCATCTCCTTGTCTCCATACTTGGACGGGTGCTTGCTGCCCTGGCTCTTTCTGCGCAGTTTTTTCAGCTCCGCCTGGCACTTCTCCAAACTCTCCCCTTTGCCCTTGTGCTCCGTCTGGTACTTCTTCAGCGCAGCCTGAGGGGGGCAGCACAAAGTCAGCAGGGCAGCGCTCGCATGTGTCAGCGTTCACAGACGATGGTTTACGCTGACACACATGTCATTGCAAACTGCTCTGACGAGTGGTCAGCTTCTGATTTATTGTGTTGCAGGTGGAGGACGGGGAACTGACTGAGGATTCGATTTATCGGTTATATTCTACTACTCTGTTTCAGCGCGGGAGAGGGGTAAGAGAGCGTACGAAATGCAAAAGAACAGCCGACATCGGGCGCCTGCACATCCTAATACCACGTTCTGTGCACGGTCACCCACAGGGGCTGGAGCCTATCCCAGCATGCACTGGGCGAGAGGCAGGACACACAGTGGATGTGTGCTGCATGTGTATGTACTATGTAAAGTATTCAACAACTTACTGACGTTTAACATGTGATTTGAAGTGGCTCTGTAGCTAATGAGCATTTGAATACATCTGAATAGTTGACTGTAACGATCAAAATGACATGCTGGTACATCCCCCGTCTCAAGTGATAAAATGCGTCTGGGACGGATTCCAAACTACTGATCTACATAAATGACTTCTTTTTTTTTTGTAAAACTCCTAATTTTCACAGAATGAGTCATAATTCACAGGACAGAGTGGGAAGTAATTTATGTAACTTGCTGCAGTGGTTTGGATGAAAGCCAGTGGGAAATGAAGGAGAGAGTGCACGTTATGAGAACACGGTTCACACCGTAACTTCACTCCCTGGAGACGCCGAACTGATGTGGAGCAGAGTTACAACTGGTGCTGCACTCGGGCACATGGCGGGTCAGGTACGACGTTACATAAGGTAGTTATTAATGCTTAAAATACAGGCCATTCAATTCATAATTTAAGTTGGAAGTAAGAGTGAAGAGTAGGATAAACAAATAATCAAATCATTTCCAGCTTCAGCAAAGTATCAGGAGAAACAGTTATGAGAGAAATGGCTGGGGATCAACGATAGCGTTGGACATTTAATATTTTATAGATAACTGCAGAGCTGCTGTTGCTGAAAATGAGATTGATGCGACTGAACCAAACAATAAATGTGCTGGAAATCAAAAACAGCCAAAAGAGGCTGAAAGGCTCAGTAGAACTCTGTGGTTCGTCACTCTTCACATGGGCTCATGAAACAGACGAGTGTGGGACTTTGTGTCTGTATAATTATAATATATAATATAAATATATAAAGGAATCTTACATTCAGGTAGCGTGCGTCCAACTCGACCTTCTTCTCCAGCTCTGTGAGCAGCTCGTTGTGGAAAGACTTCAGCTGCAAGACACACAGACACACAAACACCTCAAAACAATGCAACAAACGGCACACTAACTAAACCTCGAGTAGTAATGTTCTCAACCACAGGGGAGTATCTTAAAACAGGAATGTAACGCCGCAGTGTTGTGGTGCAAGAATGGCTCGAAGGGATGCATTTGTTTTTCTGTTGGAAATGTCACACCCAAGGATTAGTGGAGGATTTCTGCTATGTAGGTGCAAGCCAAAGTCAATGTGCTGTATCTGTGCATGTGTAGTATGTGTGTGTGCGTGCGTGCGTGCGTGCAACTATGGCTCCTTTAAAATGACATTCCCATACAACTAAACTGTATTATCAATTCATTTTCGAGGGAACTTATTTCCTCCTGGATTATGGTCTCAGTTTAAAGTTCTACGTTGTAAATTGCACAAATAAATGCAACAAAACCACGTGGCTGGTTTTAGTAAAACATCATTCCTACGCAGACTATGATGAGTATCTGTGATACGTCAATAAACAAACGCTACCAGTAATTCAAATAGTAAATGACAATGCAGCTTCGTTATTTGGGAACTGTGTTATTAGGAGACAAATCTGGTTCTGGTTCAGAGAGAACCGTTGAACCAGTGGTGAAATATTGCAAAGAAAACTAAAAATGACACAATACAAAACATTTGTATATATCTATATCAAAACACATTTCAAATGAAAGAAACAACAAGAAAAGCAAAACACATCTTAGCAGTTGGTGCCCTCTCACCATCGGTGCCTCTCTTATCATGTTGGGAGACTTTATATTTTCTTAAACTACTCTCAGCAGGCTATTGACTGAAAAAGCAGGAACGTTATGTAGTTTAGACTGAAGGGAGCTCATTATTAGTTCATTACCTAGAAATGTAGACAGAACTGTGTCTGGCTCTGAACTGTGTTACAAAAGAACACGAGTATTCTTCTTAACGTCACTGTTACATTCATTCTCGCTCTCTGTGGAGAAGAGATAAGCATCTCTCTCTGACGAATTTGTAAATTACACTTCATAATCACTTCTTCGGTTCATTGACGTCCATTACCCAAAAGACAGAGATGACACGCAGTTTAATAACAACCGTAATAGCAAACCTTGCATTCAGATTAAAGCTCCTCACTACTTCTCTCGGCTGACTGAACCTTCCCTGCTAATGTTTCCACAATTGGCCAATCCACTCTTTGGAAGATTCAAATAATCATCTTTTGGGTAACTGAACTGAAAAATGTTTTCAGTCTGTAATGGCGGCAATTTACACATCAGAAGATCAGCAAACAAACCATAATTAAGTGAAGCTGCTGCCTTCAGTAAATGGAAGTACAGTAAGAGTGTATGTCTATACGTGTATGTGAGATGGTCTTGTTGAGTATTAAATATTAAAATATATCTTGTAATGTGGAGATTCCAAAGTGAAAGGCCCCCAATCTGTTTGGCTTCCGACTCGCAGCTTAAGAAGTGCTGATTTTAGCAACACCACCACCACATGCTCACCATCTCTTCAAGCTGGATCTGGATCTGTCTGTGCACTTCAGCCATCTGAAAGAGCACCTCCCCTGCGGAGAGAAGACAGAGAAAAGAAAGACGATAAACAAAAAAAGGGAGGGGAGGGTGAGAGAGAAGAGAGGGTGATATTAAATCTCTCCGATGTCTGTGAGAGCTACATGCAGAAAGAAAAGAGCATGCAGCCACACAGAACAGATGAGGGACAGGTGTCGGGTGTCGAGGGAGGTTGAGGAGACGATGGACAAGATGAAACATCCGTCATGATACTGACGAAGCGGACGGAACTTATTGACATTACAGAAATATGCAGCACAGACAGAATTATGAAAAATTAAAGAAGCAATCGAGAAAATCTACTGAATATTTTTAAACTTAAACCATGTTACCAAGAGCTTACAACACTACCGCTGATAAACACACAGGAACAGCATGATGAAAGGAAATCCTTATAAATCAAGTATTTCATCGTTGCATTAAGACATAACATAACAGGGGAAAAACACACCAAAAAGCAGAACCCAGAAAGACATTGAAAGCTAAATAAGTAAAATTAAAACAGAAAAGATAAGAAAGTAAAGGATGATTCATGCAGCCAGGGAGGTGCGTGTTGTTATAAGATACCTACATGCTGCCTCCTCTGAATATGCAATGCGTTGTAAAAAAAAAAGGAACAAAAAGATCTAGTTTGAGCAAAGAACAGAGGGATAGAGACCTGGAGAGACAGTGACAGATCAAACTACCCCAAGACAAACGAGACACACGGCACAGACCCACCATCTGCATACTGTGTGTGTGTGTGTGTATATATATTTA